TTGATTCCATAACTTTGGATAGTGCAGGAAGCTGTGTTATTTGACGGTAATTGGTGGGATCAGTGCGGCTACTCCTTTATGGATAGGAGTGATGACCCCTCGCTTCCCTACTGAGAGAATATGATTCTCTTCTAGACATTGCTGATAGAAAACAGCCAGTGGTTCTGCTAGATCACTAGCTACAGCCTGCAGAGCCTTCGGTCGGATGTTGTCAGGTTCTGGAGAACTGTGGATAAGCAAACATAACAACTTCTTCAACAGCGCTTCCGCAGTGAATGTGATGTTGCCTAAACCAGATGGTGGAGTATTAGAAATGAGGAGAATGTTTGTGCTCGTTACCTTCTGGAAAGTTTGAGAGTAATGAAGCTTTAGGAGACCAGCTGCTTCCATTGCTGATCGCGTACACCTATCATGCGTGACTAGTGATTGAACCCCCCGCTTCACCTTTCGACGGCCGTTAACGTGCCTGTACAGTAGGTTGCGGTTCATGCAGAATCGCTTCATTAACTCCTGTTGATGAGTGATCTTATCTTCGCGGATCAGTTTCATACAGAAGTTACGATGTGTCACGTATGCAGTCCAGGTTTCGGCATTCGAGCAGTTCTGGTGATCTGGCCATGCCATATCCCCCCGGGACACACATTTAAGTGATCTACTCCTCATAATTGACTTATGCTTGTTTTGGGGTTGGGTGGACTTCTGTTCTGATGCGTGCGCTACCGGTGTGTTAAACGTCCTTATAAAGGTTTCCCAGGCAACATTTGGGGCCATTCGGTCAAGAAAGTCCAAGATTTATCCTTGAAAATCTTAGATAACACATTATAGCGCGTGACAGTATGCACTTTATCAACCTCCGTTTCAGGATACTCCACATAGCGTATATAGTCAAAGAGTAGAGTAACATGATGATTACGACCAATGTGTGCTTGTAACTATCCCGTCAACCATGAGTTCTTCGTTAGTGAGCACAAGATCCAGTATCGACGGCTTGTTAACATTTCAAAATCTGGTGGGAGAGGTTTCGTGGTTGTACGGAGAGTGGATAACAATTAGCTTTTGCTAGTAGGCTTTAAACTGCGTACCGTGGGTTGCCGGCGTTTCTATGTCGCGCACGTTAAAGTCTCCAGCGATAAGAATGTGGGTGTAAGACTTGTTCAAAGCAAACTGTAAGACGAGATTCAGTTTGGAGTCCATTTCCAACATTGAGTTTGGTGGGCGGTAAATCACGGCTAGTAGACATATGTCCTTGTTTCGCAACCATAGGCGGCACCAAAGCGAATCAAGAGCTCGGATTTCCGGGTGATCGATAACTCCACATCGGAGGTTTGTATTATAGTAAAGTGTCACACCGCCACCCCTTCCGGTTCTATCAATCCGAAGTGGCGACATACCGGGTAAATTGATCTCAGAAGCGGTTATCTCAAGGTTTAACCAGGACTCTGTAATCATGATGATGGGCCGCGGTTGTGAGGCATGGAATTCTCTATGTTCGGCCAACTTACTTAGAATGCCTTGAGCGTTTGTGTACATGCAAGCGAGGGCTTTTGTTGTTAGAAGTTCATTGACAGATGTCAACTTTGTGTTAGTTTTTAAGCCGGCCGTTAGGTGGCTGTTCATTAAACGTTTTTTGTTTGATGTATTTCAGTCAAGTAGCATGGAATTGTTGAGCGTTTCTGAACAGACGTTTCACTCATGCTGTGCTCTGTCCTTCTGTGTGCCGTGGGTGCTGTTGTGTCGGTCTCTCCGCAGGATTGTGCAGATAACGAATTTGAGCGTTTGCAAGTTCCATCGAATTGCTTACGTCTCTTGGCCTTTCGCCTGCCGCCTTTAGCCGGATCTCTGTTGGAACCTAGCTCGAAAGTTTAACCAGCTATTCAACAGAACTTGCGGCATTCCTTCAGAGTGTAATATTACTTTCATTAGCCTTGGATGGCGGCCCTTGTAATTAGATAATGACGGAACTCTTGTCAAGGCTTCGGCAATAACATTGTCAAGAGAGTGCCTCGCGGACATAGCACCACTACTTTCGGTCATGTGTTTGTGCATAGTGATCAGAAGAATGCAGAAACATGGGAACACCATGAACAAATATTGTTTTCTTGCTATCACGATTGAAGTGTTACGTTGCTCACCTGCTTCTTTTGGGTAATCTTTCCAAGGAAGATCGGGTAATATGCGCATTGCGCTGGGTGAGTTGCGAAGACGAACTGCTGAGAGTAAGACCGTCTCTGTCTCATCTGCTGAGTTTAGTGTTACTCGAAGCATTCGATGTTCACCAGAGTGCACTGAGGTCGGGTGATGCGCTACGCGTTGCAGCATAGCAGGCTAAACCCGAATACCAATCGCATTGCAGATGGAACAGTGGAACAATAGTTTATTACGGGTAAAAAAGCATCGCTTAACAAGTCCTGTGGGATGGAAATTCTTGCGAAAAACAATTGCATAATGAAGTGAAAGGCTTTGTGGTTGACTCACCATAGACTTATGTGGAATAGCGGAGATGTTCACGTAGTAAACGTATAAATCCATAAATCGGTTGGTTAGGCGTTTGACAAGACACCGTTTCATTGCGTTTTGTAGCCCCTGTCTTCCAAGTCATAAAATGAAATGTAAGTGAGACAATGCATCGTCAACACGTTTTTTAAATATCGCCGGATGGAACTCAACTGGTTGCGATCGTCTTGCAACTCGCTTTTTATTTTGCCAGATTTAGAATCAGGAACTTTGGTGCACACGAGAGTTAACGCAGCGTGATTTTGTCTAGAGAGTCTCAATTTTATAGTTTTTCCGGCAATTCGGGCTGTTTAGAAGGCACCACTGGATTTGACGGTCAAAGCTGCGTTGCTCCACGTGTGCTCGTTACAGTAGATGGACCTACGTGTGTCGCTCCCGGTGTGTTTGTCGAGGCAGTTGATGCGTACGTTACCTGCTTGTTTTCTTTACCGGAGTGCCTCCGGCTTCGAGCTGTCGGTGTCATGGCTGAAACTCCAAGTGAAGCGTCGATGTTTGGAGGATTGGAAACAGGCATATTTGAGGCTTGTCGACTTTAGGGAGTGAGATGGCCCAGTGGACTTAGAGACACAGACGCTGCAGTGCGTTTGGAGCGTCTAGCTTTCTTCTTCGGCTTAGATTCAGAGCTTACTTTGGCTGGTTGAGGTGTTATCGTGGCCATATTTACCTCCGTGGGATCGACCTTAGTATTTACAAGATGCGCGATTATCTCAGTCATCCTATCACACTTTTTCATGAGCAATGATAGACACTTGACAACTGGAATAACTTGACATGTTGAACAAAACCAAATTGTGTCAGCAACTTTGTTTGTCTGTCTCACTTCTTGGACGGATTTGCCTACACATTGCGGACAGTACGATTTAATGCAACTGGAACGGGTTACTCCGAATTTAAGGACTTTACTACAATCGTCTGCGCAACATAGGCGACATTGAACCATTGGAATGCTAGTCGCCCTCTTATCGTTTGCAGTAAGGCCTGTCTGAGTGCTCACCTTGATGAGTGTTGTTTGCGCCACGCGTGGCGCACAAACACGTCAAAACACGCACACGAATTGACTTTTTCAACCACACCAAGGTCAGGCGGTCAAGACAGATGGAGGTTGCCACACTTGGTATGCCATTTTCATGTAGATTTGTGGGCGGTTTATCAGCGCGTCTATTACGGTTTTCCGGCGTTAACGGTGGAATTCTGAGGAGCGATCGTTGCAGAGGCGTAGGATTTGGCTTAATCAAAATATATGTGTACTGGGTACACGAAGTAAGTATATGTTGGTTGTGCAAGAAACAATCTGCCAATTCTTCACTTCGAGATTTAAAAATGATTGGACAAAAATGCCTCGATGTTTTCTTTTTAGGCGCAGACATTTACAAGCGACAATCGTTTATGGTACAAGCCCTAGTACTGCTGTCTTTACTTTGCACAGACTGAATCCGTCCGGTATGTTAAATCGGACACATTTTTTACTCAACGGTATCCTTCATATACCGCTGACGCGATGGAGTGGATTATTTGACGTGTCTTTTTGAGGTGAACATTCTCAAGCTTATCAGATGGGTCAAACGTTTGACCTAGCAGCGCACTGATGAAGTCACCTGGTCTACTGATGAAACATTTGCAACGGAACTGTTTAGCTCGGAGAACAGAACACAATCTGAACAGACAACCCTAGCTACAGTATTCCGATTTATTGCTAACACTAACCATAGTATGTGTTTAACAGCCCTCTTCGGAAAGTGGTGGTGAGGACTCATGCATTAGGGTGCTTTCGAATAAATTGGATATATTAACACGGTGTTAACGCCCCACAATAGCCAAATGAAGCTGCACACGAGTGAGCGTTTTCATGTCCTTGTTTTATTTCTCACCGAGTTACTGGACTACAACTGCTCCCTATCCTACTTTGTGTAGAAGCATCTCTTTCCCATTTCAAACGGTCGTTATGCAACAGGACATTCAAATCGGTAGACGATTAAACTACGATTACCTATCTTTCAATCCCTTCAAGTTTAACTTTCATTTCATACATCCTACGGGACTTGTCAAGCATATGGTATATTATCCGTGACAAATCATTGTTCGTTTGCATTGTCTGTTAGCGCAGCACAATTGTGTAAATCTTTCGCACTGAGCCGCGGTAACTCCGAGTTCTGTACTTCCAACCATGGACCCATTGCTTCCATTGCACTGTGTCCTACATGTCTGGACCCCCAATCGAGTAACACAGCTATTGGTGACAGGTTCAAGTGTCCTCACGCCTACAAGAATCCGGCTGATCCGATTGGGTGATACTTCCACTTTAATGATCTGACAGTTTCTGCTTGATTCATTAGAGTTCGCCCAGGTTTCCAGCAGTGTAAGTGAGTCGTCATACGTGCATGGAAGATGCATCCGGCAATTTGGATTGTGAATATCTCAGCCAGCCGGTCTGATAGAGATGGCTGCACTCATGTTCCCCATTGACCTCCATTGCAGAGCGCATCGGAATGACCGAAGCGGAGAATCACTGTCCGCTTAATGAGGATTTCAGAAAATTTGTTGAATTGGTTGCTGAGGCCGTAGTTGTGGCACGGGAAGAATCTTGTGGGCCATCGGCGCAACAGAAGATATGGCCACCGGATTTCGAGCGGTGTGAAACAGATTTCGAGCGAGTGTGCATTTTAATGCAGTTGCCGACGGTTAGACAGTTCTCATTGCTATCAGGTGAGATGGTCGCCTGTTATGAAATCCGTACTTTAACATTGCTATTCACACCATTTAAACTGAACAGGTTGCACGCAACGGAGCTCGGTCGCGTTAAACAGTCGTGGGTGGGGAGTGCATTCATTCTATGTTGACATGAATTTGTACCTGCACACTGTACGTAGGCAAGTGACAGTGTTGACACCTCAGGCTTATAGCCAAGCGATTATCCTTTAACCGCCGGAACAGAGCATATTTTAACCGAGCTAGGTGAGAAAGACCAACAGGAGCGCCAACACACGAAAATACACAAGAAAGCGTTGAGATTAATGGAAGCGTTGTTTGGCTGTCAATGTACGGTCCAGAAGGGTTACTTATACTGACTGCAAATTGCTCAGGATAATCGAGAGCGTTTTCACGGCTTGTACTGCAAATCGACAATACATCGTGGCACGATTGTTTGTAGAATGATGCTGCAAGATACTTGGACATGAGGTTTGCTCTGATGATTTGAATGGTGTGCGGACACCGATGCACTAGAACAGATGTGCATATTGAGTGAATTTGAAAGCACCAGTGCCTTTGCATTGCTTGAGACACATTGATTCTATGCTAAGCAAAATGTTCGATGTGTACCATAAATCTTACGAATTGGGTTTCTTTCAGCTGCCGAGAGTCCATCTTGTCAAGATGGAATGAAATCAGATGAAGTTGTGCGCAAATGTAGGATGAAAGCACTTGACTGCCGCGGTGAAATTCTTAGCAGTCTTGATGCGTGGACAGAAGCGGTGTTTGGGGCAAAATCAACCGGCTGCCGATACAAGGCATTTTACAGCAGGTCTCGTTTGTTGGAACACTTGAGAGCTCATGAGGCCGAACTGGATGATATAAATCGTTGCCTTGAGGTAAGTTCCGTCACCTCCAGTCACCTCCAGAGATCGCCTTTCATTAGCTATATTGCGATGTCAACCTAGTGGTAAATATATTGACCACGTATACCCGATATTAAGACCGTTGTTCTACTTTGCTCCATCCCTTAACCTTTATCGCAGAACGTCCCACCGGTGGATGAGCAGTGGGAACTGCACTTTCGTCGTGGCCACCTTCTACGGAAGCTTGGTGAGTATGAAGCGGCATACGCGGAATTCTTAGAAGCAAGAGTCGCCGCGAGATTTGATTCTGAAGTACTTCCTGATATTGTGCTCTACGACAGCATACATCGGTGTAAATGTAGAGACTCCGTCGATCGAAACATGCATCCACTGCTGAGATTTATCTCCAGACAGTCGACAGGTGTCCGAATCATCAAAACAATCCCGCTGCCGGACTCCAATTCTGGGGGGCATGCGTTCCACGTTAAACGCGACGGTTCCTTGGGATTACATCTCGTGGCAAGCAGAGATATTGCTCCAGGTAAGATTCGCTACTTCTACCGTGATATTTTATTCCCGCAAATCTGGTGTCTAAATGAGTAGGAGTATTTTGTTGTGAACCGGAACTGGGGGCTTCGGCCTCTGACTTAGGCGGTCACACTGTGTTACAGCGATGTCAAGTTATAATGAAGCGGAGAGCCCAGGTCAGGTCGTACCCGACAACTAGTCCTCCAACGTCTTTCCCATCGTGGCAGTATAGTCTGTAATCTTGTCCAATGTTGCTTGGTTACTCGCACTGCACCAGACTGCGTACGCCGGCTAAGCATGTCATTTCGCATGGGTTCCCGTGAAACTGCTGGCCGCATGCCCTCGCAACCTTACTGAGATCGCTAATTCTCCCCTCCCCAATGTCTATGTCAGCTCTGAATCGATCCCAGGCACATGCTTTGTTGCACCGGCTAAAGAGTATAGTTGCGATGCGGTTGAATCATCCAACCACTCAGTAGTCACAGTTGTAGACTGCACTGCTTACCGGTATTCCTTAATCTGGCTTTTTCGAAATTGGCCGTGAGAAGCAACGTGTGAATTAGTCAGTCAGCGGAGAAATGTGCTGGGACCCGCGTGTGCCATTTCTTTTCCAAGTAACTACTCTTGCCGTGGAGTGTCTTCGCAATTGCGGATGCCGGGTATCACGTGGTCCACTCTGGATGGTATTCAGGACATTTTATGTGATCGATGCTGATTTCTTGGACTGGTGATGTGACTTAATATGTAGTGACTAGCTCAACCCAACAAGCAGGAGCACCCCCTGTTCTCATGTGAAGCTGGTATATTTTTGCACTTTTTCTTTAGGGGAATTGATCGCAGCTGAGAAACCATATGTTCGCGTTCTGAATCCAGGCAAGGAGCTGCGGCACTGTTATCGTTGCTGTAAGCGCTCACTAAACTTGACTCCATGTCGAGGTTGTTCCGAGGTAAGTATTCACATTGTCAATTACCAAGTGCCCTATGTTTGAATAGCTGCATGTTGTTTTCATTTCGCACTACGCATTATTATTTTCGATGGGAATAGGGTCTATCTGTTTGGTGCGATTCCTCGCCGCTTGAGTTCTGTTTACCAATAACTTGCTCATGTTTAACTGCCTGACTTAAGCTCACTGGGTAGTTGGTTTTGTCCTAGGCAAAGCACGATGCGACGCAGCTTTGTATGCCAGCGCTACTCAGTGTACACCTATTTACGCTGGGTGGAATTTTACATGGAATGTACGTGGGGACGCTTCCTGATGTTTTCAGATGAACGTCATACAGACTGCTGATCATCATTCTTCGCGCTATGTGTGGATTGCACAAGATGGCACATTAAGACAACACTAGTACAAGTTTTCCTTTTGAAGCCAAGCATTTTCGCCTATTTGAGAGCATCTGCAGGCGTGTGCAGCAGGCAACAATGGTTTCCGTCGTTCGATGTCTTGGGGTACGTTCTGAATCGATCGAAACAGGGGAAGAAGCCTTGTTGCGCACAGCGGAAGTAAACATGTTCACTGATGGTTCACACGATCTTCTGAAAAAGGATTACGTTAAATTCATTCAGAGCTGACTACTCAAGTGTAGAGCGGTCATCACTCGGGTTAGGTAAGTATATGCCTGGTGGAACATCGCCGCATCGGCTAAATGAGATAAGCCATGCAGTGTTCGTTGCAGCTGATGCAACGCGGGAAGCACTGGCTTACAAAGTCAGTTTGCGATAAATTGAGCAGTTTCATGCAAAATAGTCTATTTTAACCGCCTCGGTGAAGTAATAGGTCAGTGCCGTTTTTCAAGCCCTTGTGGCATTCCTGGTATTTGCTTGAATCATACTGTCACTTGGTTAAGATGACTACCGGGATGCTGAGGGGAATATCGGGCTGAAATCATCATCGAGTACGTTGCAAGTGAATTGACACTGTATTTTATCCTTCCACCTAGGTTGGTTTCTGCTCAACCCGATGCGAGCGTGAGACATGGATGTCAGATTGGTGGTATATGAACGGAAACGAATCACCCGGGGAAATTGTGGACGGACCGGAGTTGGATCAGTTCCATCGTTTCGAATGTGGCCAACGCTCGCGAATCTTGCTGACGGATGTGGGTGGATTGCAATGGCTCAAGGTGTTCGGTAGTACCACTTGTACGTCCCCGAGGTTACGACGCTACTCCGAGTGGCTAGGTGACCTTGATCCAATTGAATATCCGACTTTGGACGCCCGTGATGTTCTATTGGCCTTCGCTTGTGTTGCGCGCACCCACTGGCATGATATCTGGAGACTGGCTCGAGTACGTTATAGCCAATGTTTTGGCATTCGACCACCATACGTTTCTGCCTGCGCAACATTTATTATACTATTTATGTTTTACTTATTTGCTCCTTATTTAAATAAGCGGTTACCTTGCTCACCAGCTCAGCCTTAACAGCGCTATTGTCCTCCGATGTTGAAATATTTGCGGGTGGTGTGCATTTCTTATATGCGGATTCATCTCTTTTCCCGGTGTGTTGAAAGTGCTCAATGCAAGTTAGTACACTTGTGCCTTTTTACGCTTCATCCACTGTGACTCCTGGATTGGTCCACAGCCAGTTCACCTTAACTTTATTCCAAAAATTCGTGACTGGTCCATCGCATCGTCGTGTTACAGGGCCAAGCGAATGAAGATATCAAGGAAGCCACCAACTCTAGATGTCCGGTGAAACGACCGTCTTCCATCTTCGCATTCTCTGGACAGGAAAACGTGACGAATACAACCTTCAGGCTAGGCACATATGATTCAGTGAGCTGGAGAAATGCCGAACCACACAATACGCGTTCCACTGAAGACTTGTGGCAGAGGACTGTAGCCGCAGTGTTCCTCGCTCACTGCTTGTCCGTAAGTTCTCCTTCACCTCTTTTTAAACTACTCAAACCTGCTACCTGCGAATTCCTTCTGTCCCTGCGTCATTCATTCTCGTACAATATCGTCTAATTCCTTCAGCACCGATGTTAACATTGTGAGTGATATACTCGCTGTAGCGTCTGATCCGCCGTGCATGTTTCGGTAAAGAGATATTTTCTGAACATTTTAAGTGGATGCTTTTGTTTTGATGACCGAGAGATATCTCTTGATCCTAAAGGCTGAAGGAAACACTTTGCTCTATTTCCACTGTCGCAGGCTGGTGGCTACCCTCTCGACTGGAAGGAAGATCCCATGATGAATCCTTTAGTTGCACACGCTGAGGACGATCGACCCAAACTCCCGGCTTCCTGGGCTGCTGCTTGTCTGTTGTATCACCTTCAAGTGGGCATGCGTGCAACCCGCGGTCAAACGGTTGTTCGGTATGAAGAACAAGATTCGGATGGGAACTCAGTTAGAACCACCTGGGATTATGTTCGAATAACCTCGGAGTCCAGTGGGATATATGCTCTTTTAAGTTTGACCTCACATGCTTGTGACCAGAACAGTTCCGTTATTACGGTGGATGGGGTCGGTGAGGGATTGTTCGCACTCAGGTCAATTAAAGCCGGTACGGAAATTTCCTTCAGCCTCTGCGACAGACACAAGCCGACAGCTGCAAGACAAGAATTGTTAATCAAACGTTTTGGTATTCACTGCCAATGTACAGCTTGTCACAAAAATTGGCCGGTTGAGCACGAAGTATTAGTGATGCCGCAGTGCCAGCTTTGTGGCCACCAGGTTCCTGTGCACGGTTGCCGACCGGATGCTCACGGTGGTCGTTCTGGATGTCGCTGCCCGATGCGTATAAGGTGTAATCAACCGTTAGCGATCGTGCAGCAGCAAGACCAGAGAATTGTCAATCGGCCTAGGGTTATCCGTTATTCAGAAATCCTTCCTTTGGATGAGATCTCTGTATCTGAGTTTGATCGGTGTATAGCCGATACGGTACAAAACATCAAAGCATTGGAAGAGCACGAAAATTTGTCAGAGCCTTGTGGCAATTTGAATAGTCTGGAGGACCAGCTTCAGCAGCTACTGAACTTCCGTCATGGACAGTATTATATGTTGTCAGTGATATCGACGGCATTAAGGATCCAAGATCACATTTGGCCTCCGATTTGATTGTCACCACGGGTTTACCGTTCTTTTTCCCTATCTATCAATGATTGACGCTACTCAACTTTGCTCAAAAGATTTCTATTAATTAATGTTCCGTGTTTTGCTTTTTTAAAGCGTGTCCAGTTGGGAGCTTCCGTATACATCTGAAATTTCTTGAACTAATTGTGTGACCCGAAATACACTTTTTATTTCACTGTTTAAATATTCGCGTTCCAACCTGGTTGGCAACGAGAGTCCAGATGCTATGCGTGTAGAAGACTCTCAGTAGCCTCGTTGGGCTCACTGCGTCGCGTAGTGAACTCCATGTTCGCCGTGTGTTTCGTTCGTTATCTTGTCCATTGTTTAAGCGACAGGGTTGAGGACAAGCGGGACACACGTCAGCTGAGCGCTGGCGATATGGGAAATAACACGTTGCTATTGTGTCACGGTAGAAATTGTGAGCTTTGGCTTTGCAATTGTATTGCCTTGTCGCATGTATTCAACGTACACTTAGTCAACTAGGGATGACTGAAATCTTGTGAACGCTTGGTAGGCTTGATCTATTATGAATGCATGTGGCGGTTTACAATAATGTGGCAGTTCATTGGGTAGAGTAATATGCGTGCGATAATCACGGTGTCCATCTTGCTTCTGTCGTGGGTTACGTTCAAGTGAGCTGCTCTAGGGAGCGGTCATTTCTCCCACCAGTTATGTTGGGATTGCAGGGATCAACAGGACGGAAGGTAACGCGCTCTAAAGTCCAAGACGGTAACGTCCGATTTCTATCCGTTTCGCCTACCGTCCTCGCGCTCGCGACACCGAGGTTCATCTCAATGGGAATAGCGGTCAACACTGCGATTGCGTGTCGCAATCCATCCACAAAATGTGTACTTCAAGATGACCGTCAAAATCCAAGACGGCTATTTAAACTTGTAACTCGGATTATTTATGTCGAGTTCTTTTCCTTCAAATAACCAGTGAACACTGTAAGACCACAGTTGCTGGTCACTGTAGCGGCTTGAAATGTGGTATTCGGTGGGTGATATTGTGCTGTGGTTATGGCATTTTACCGCTGTGTCTAGGGATGCTGCAGGCGGGATTGGGCACGTATTTTATGATAGCGATTGAATCTGAGGTTACGGGAACACCACCAGACGGATGCATAGGGTGTCAAACGCCGGCGCGTTCGGAAATGTTCTCTTTTAGGTACCTACATGCTGTTGAAGCCTGTGGTGTTCATTAGCGGTAAATTGCATTTTTGTAATTGTTGTGGTATATGGGTGATACTAAGCTGTGCCAGTTTAGGCTGTCTCTTATTATGCAAGTCGGACTTGGAACCCCACATCTCTGTGTCTATTCGAATGACACTTGCAGGGTAAATAGAGAGCTGAAATGTTCCTTGTGTTTTTGCGTTTCGTCGCAAAATAGCAACTAATGGGCACTGCTTCCTACATGTCACTACACAGGGTATCGGGTTGCTGCTTTTCCCTCTAAGTGATTTCACCGTATGTTCCTGTCTCTCAGTGAAGTTATTAACGCTCGTCCTGATTGCACAACTCGAAATCATTCACTAGACTGTCATATAACGTGCCGAGCATTCGCTGGTGGCTGATCGCAACGCCTCAATTCACACGAGTGATTCGAAGTCTGTCTGCACTGTGGTACTCTAAGTCAGGGGTGTCCAAAGTCCGGCCCGCGTTAACATTGCAACTGGCCAGTGGTCTCATCATGAAATAATAAATTCAGGCTTAGATTTTTTCGTACATGTGTACTTTTTGTCATTATTTTAATGTCAGACTGAACATAGCCCGAGATATATTTACCTCACAAAATGGGGTCCACCTTGCGAAAGGTTTGGGCACTCATGTTCTAAATAGAAGCGTGTGGGTAGTGAAAGACGATCAGCACTAATCTCCGACAAGAACAGAGGATATGAGTGCATGTTGTGCGATAATTCAGCTGATGAGCTATGGGTCCTACACTCGTCTTCCAGCTGCTGAGTTTGTGTATATCTGATGGTTAAAAAATGGTAGTGCAGTCAGCAGCGGGATGCAGCATACTTTGAGAACAATAGGGCTAAGGCAAAATGGATAAAAGTTTGTAATCGGTGCAGTGGGTTCTCAGAACACATTACTTGTTTGGTGTGAATTTCGGTATGTCCGACGGCGTTTCTGACAGGCTGCACGTGATCTTTGTATCCCCAACTCGGGAATGGAGAAAGTTCGAGCACAGCAACTTTTAAGGACGCACCATGACCATCTTGCTATCGATTCTATACGAATTCCGCGTGCAGTGTGCACTGCGTGGTAATCGCTACATCAAAAGCCATGTCTGAAGCCATATAGGTCAGCGATCGACGAAATCTCTCTGATTTGTAAACTGTTAACGACCAATACCATTAGTACGTAATAGTACCGTCGTACAGCAGCAAATCTCCAGATACAGTGGGGACAAAACAGCTTCAGAGCATTTATTAATCTACTGGGCTAAAGTTTGCGCTTTGGAGAAGAAATGTTGGTTTCGAACAACAAGTGTATGAACCCTTTCAATGAGGATTTGAGATCGTGCATGCGCCGGAGATGACGGTGAGTGGCCAAAGTAACCTGAACCTTTGAAACGCTCAGGTCGCCCTTGTCAGCCAAATCAGTAACATAATGGTAGTTCTCAAACTAAATGCAATGTTCGACCACCCTCATATAACCATCAGAAGTTGGAGAGTAAGCGCACTTGCTGGTTAGCTCTGTGGGGTCTGCTTGCACTTCAATGGGGGGAAACCAATTCGGGCTTTGAGACAGATATCTCTGAACTACGTAGCATGTTTAATGGGCTTTCCGGGAATCTCGAATCACGCTTATGAATTCAGCATAATCGAGTCACTAAGTCGGTCACCCTTGAGATACTCGACCCCACTAGGTCCGCATGCTTCCAGTGCCTCTTGCAGAGTGTCATTCATAGTGAACCTGAATGAGAAGCTTGCTGCGATACAACTCTGGCTCACAGTATTTCGAACGCATACCATATGCACTCATTTGGCCCAGAAGTTAAGAATAATTGTCTATGAAGATTTTTGACATGCGCCTAGTGTACTCCATTCCATAAAGAAAAATGTAGATAACAGCTCTTGCAAATGCCTCTGGGATGACAACGACTACTGACCGACCGAATGTTTTCATGCAAGTATTTGCTGGACTGTAAAGCTAGAAAAAATTACCCCGACTAGGATGGAACCCAAGATCATATTCATACCCCTGCTATGCTGTCTTAGAACCAAATGAGTGAGTAATTTGGACATAAATTATTTGAAACTTATCCTACCATGTGTAGGCAGATACAACGTCTGAAAAGCACCAATCAAACGTGATAACCTTCTTGATCCAGGTCCTTTGCTGAAGTGCAAGGAATTTCTGGATAAATGGTAGGCCAATATCTCTGGAAAGGGCCGGGATTTCATGATGGCGCACGTGGATTACGTTTGGGGTTTAACGTTCGCATACGAAGGCACCATGTTGATTTATGAGGGGGTATTCGTTAGTGTTGTTATTCAGCTGCAGTACTTATCAAAGGGTTCGATCGAACACTCAGATCGAACTTGATGACACTGGACTGGCTGACCACTGATTGCACATAAACCGCCTACCGTTGGAAATGCTGATGACATTGCCTCAATCTGTGACAGCTCCCGAACTTGCCAACCAGCAATTGATGGATTGACACTGGTGTCAATTGCTTTGGGCTATGCTTTGCACCATAGAAATACAAAGTCCTTTCGGATTGGCAGGGACCAATTATTGTGCTGAACATAAATGGTGCTCTGCTAGAAGTCGATCAGTAATTCAAATGTCTGGGCAGTTATGTTGGTGCACATGGGATCGAAGATGAGGTCACGAACCGTATAGCGAAAGCTCGAGTTGCTTTTGTCAGTCTCCGCCACCTGTGTCGCCGACGCGACATCAACCTCGCCCTGAAGAGCAGAGTTTATAATGGAGTAGTCCCTGCAACCCAACAATATGCTCGTGATACTTGGCCCCTTGGATCGGTAAACATAAAGCGGCTAGTTATATTCGACCATCGCTACCTTCGCAGCTTAGCTCATGTCTGGTGGGAGCGCCGCGTGAGCGATATATGTGCTCGGCGTCGCGTACTTAGTGCGGGAGGAGCGAGTGAACCGCTCAGCCCCATTATATCGAGCACCAGGCTCCGTTGTTGCGCAGCCCAGCCACCGACTCCCGCGTCGTGTGTTGTTTGCGTCGTCGGTGTTTAGGTGGAAGAAGAGAGGCGGAGGGCAAGCAATGAGTTGGTCAAGATGAATGAAGACCCCCAATTCGCAGTTGGCGTCCGTTGGCGCATCGTGACTGCTGAGTTGGGGCCCAAGGGACGATGAACACGTTTGGTTGGCCACACTTGCCGACATGGTAAAGAGCCGGCTTGAGTGGCGTTTGTGTAGTGAGTCCCTTTGTCCAACACCCTCTCCCTTGAGTTCCCCACCGAACACGATCTCATAGCTATTGCATTAGATAATATTTAACACTAAATTCCTTGATGTTTGCAATTTGTCGTGTAAGGTTTGGTATCGTATTTTTGTATGTGGCAGCATATTTGCATAGGAAATGGTGACCACCAAAATCACTACGGTTGGGGCAAACATAGCGGACTGTGCAACCCAATCCTCCCCCGTAAGCGCTGCTCCTATCCCGCGAAGAACTGCTAATAACACCGTAAGCAACACTACACCTAGAGTCCAGAACATCAACAGCTGTCCCAATACCACACGTAGTTCACATTTGACTAAAGCGGTTCCCAGTTCGATCGGAGTAACTAAACGTAAGGCTGCTTCCAAACTCCCGATGCACGGATGCTAAAAAGCTGGTACATATTCCTATGCAGGCTATCATCGTCGCTTCGGCTGAAGACAATCAGCGATATGCCCCCCAGAGAAGATATGTCACTCAAAGAATCAAACGCGATGGGATCTATGAAAGAACAATGCACCGGTAGTGTGCCGAATGAGCCCACACTACCTGTAGAATATGATATTGATCAGACA